TACAGGAAAAAAAATTGCTCATACATGAAAAGGACAGGACAAAGAAAGGTTAACATACAAATTATTACAACATTCCATGTTGCAAATATTATCTTCCTACATAATCATTTTTATTCTTTGTTGGACAATTCTGTCAAACATGATCTGTAATTGAAGAACTCTAAATTAGAAGGTGAAGGAGACTGGAGTAAGGCAATAGGGAAGAAAACCAAGTGATGTAGCTAATACTTTCATGATTGTAAAAGTAGACTCCAGGTTTAACTATAATAGCATCAAATGCTCATAAAACATTGTACATCAGATGGAGCTGATTGTTGTAAAGTCTCATCTTATCACTCCACAGAAAATTCCTAGAAAGATTTGCAATTTAAATACTTCAGAAAAAATGTGCTTTCCAAGGAAACTTTGGTGTCACAGATGTAACAAAGCTTCCATTTCACAAATAAACATTTTGTTCTAGTTGCACACAACATTAACCAACAACTGTGGTTTGAAAGCAATGAGAAAAAAGATAGGAATTTTCCTGATTTTTCTCTTAGCCATAAGATGGTGTCAATTGTAACAAAAAGTGTTTTCAATGATGTGAATAAACAGATTTTGGAGTTTCTGACTTAAAAAATAATTTTTCATTCCCAATAGTAAATATAAAAAATTAATATTTTCCAGTCTCAGATATTAGGTAACTCATCTGAAATTGACTTATTAATAAACCAAGAAACACATTTTTTTTCTGTATCACTGAAATCAAAATCTGCCACGCTGACCCCAGTGGAGTCTGCTTAACATGGGAAACCATCTATCAGACCATGATAGGGGCTTCAGAGACCTATCGCTGAGTTTTGGGACTTCACCGAAGTCTACCTCAGAGAATGGGGCTTTACAGAAACCTATCTCCAAGTTTTGGGACTTCACCGAAGTCTACCTCGGAGAATAGGGCTTCTAAGAGGCCTACTCCTGGGAAAAGGCTGGCAAAACCCCTGGAAAAGATGTGTTTCTGCCTATCTTTTCCTCATAAGAGTGCCTATTAATCTTTTACTGTTTCTACTGCTCTTTGTACTTGCTCATTGTCAACGTTTCCCTTATTTAAAGCTCTTTCTTAAGAGTGTTGACGACTCCAATATCTGATGAGTGTCTTAAAAATATGACTAACTCACCAGAGTTAAGTGCTACCCTGAAACCCCTCTTATGGAGGCTAGTAGACAAGCCATAAGCAAATATAAAATATTGGGGGTTTCACAAAGTCACTTCACAGAAGGAATTGTTTGTAAGAATACAAGAAGCTGTAGGGCAACTAGAACAGAAGGAATGTATGGCAATTGCTGAGATAACTACTTAGGAGAAAGAACTTCCTATTACTCTTTCATTTACTAAGAGACTTGCTAGATCTAAGTCTCCTTGGTGTTTACTATTAAAGAAGGAACAGAAAAGATCTTATGGGACAGTTAAGGCCTCAATAGAAATAAGGTAATGGTTAGTTGGTGACAAACATCAAAACCCATTATATTTCTTAGAGATAAGCCGGAAACAAGTGCCTATCAGGTGACCAGCTGTTGACCACCCAAGAATGAAGCCCTGCAGCAAGGTTGTGTAACCTTTTGCCCTTTCTTATGGAGACTTTTTGCTATAAAAGTTTGTTATCCTCTGCATTAAATCGCACTCAGCGCTCAGCACTCAACATCCACTCCTAATGTGTGTGAGTTGTCTGTTTGCCATCTCCCCATCCTATTCCAGGTTCCTCCCCTAGGTATCCTCCATCGTCCCGACAGAACCCGGTCCGCGGCAAAACTCTTGCTTTTTGGACATTTGAAGTTAAATAAACACAAAAATTGAAGAAAACATAAGCTCATTAAACTTCCAGTTGTCATAATATCTAAACTAATCTCCAAGATTAGTTTTTGCCTGTTTTTCTTCCAAAGCTTTTCAGCTACCAGTGTTCAGCAGGTTAATCCCTTCCTATTCTTCAACAATATCCATTGTTTACCTGTTGAATTTCATTACTTGTGATCTTTTATATTGTCACATTAAATTATATGCTAGATTGGTATTTTATCTCATCTTAAATTCTAACTATACTTAAGAAAAATAAAGGGGGCTGGGAAGGTGGCTCAGTGGTAGAGCGCTTGTCTTGCATGCCTGAGGCCCTGGGTTCGATTCCTCAGTACCACATAAGCAAAAAGAAAAAAAAAACGGAAGTGGTGCTGTGGCTCAAGTGGTAGAGCGCTAGCCTTGAGCTGAAGAGCTGAGGGATAGCGCAAAAGCCTGAGGCCCCATGACTGGACCCAAAAAAAAAAAAAAAAAAAAGAAAGAAAGAAAGAAAAAAAGAAAGATAAATATATTGCATTATTTGTTTCATCTAATATTTTGTATATATAGCACACATAAGTTTATATTCAGAGAAAAAATACTGTCTGGAAAAGTAAAAATCATTTTTAATGTTTATATTCTTAGTCCAGGTTTTTACATTGAATACATATATTTATATAATTATAAGATTACATAATTATGTTATGTATATCAGTACATTACAAAACATTGTGGTTAAAGGAAATGGAAACTGTGAACCTGTGAATTGAAAGAGTTGTGTAGAAAATGCTTGATTTTTTTCATAAGGCTTTAGCTCTATGATAGCCTATACATCAATTAGTACTGACTCACTATCTGGAACAGATGAATTAAATATAGATTACATTATGATGGATAGATAAAATACACATAATATCAAGTATTTTTTCAGGTTTTCTTTGATTCTTGAATTGACTACATAGGTTCTTCTGAATCTTCTAGATCAAAAATATGTCCCGTCCTATATCACTACTCCTTTAGCACAAAGAAACCCATTTTTCTCTTTGCTTCATCAGTGAAGAGAACTCTTGCTTAGATGCATCATGCAGCCATTCCTCAAAAATTCTGTGAGAGATCATAGTTAAATGTATTTCTCCTCCAACCTTGCCTTGCAGCACATGGATTCCATCAATGTACCTTACAATTCTGACTTTTTCCCTTCACAGAGTTTGTGGGAGGATCAAGGCAGGGGGCAAAACATTACTATCATCACTAATGAACAGTCCTTGTGTTTTACTATGATAATTGTTTTCTTTTTAGCTAATGAGAAGATATGTCTTAATAGTACTCTAATTGGGAAGGAAGATTAAAATGGTTAAGATAGTGGCTCATGTCTGTACTCCCAATGACATGGGAGACAGAAACCAGGAAGGTAGTGGTTCCAGAGCAGCCCAGCCAAAAGGTCAGCTATAACCATTTCAGCGACAAAAACCAATTGTGATCATCACAATTGATTCCAGATCTAAAGCATGCTTGTCTGGGACTAATGTTAGAAAACAACTGTAAGATCTAATGTGAAAAATAACCAAGAGCAAAAGGAGATTGAAGTGATAGGACATGCATGGCCAGGAGTGAGAACCTGATTTTAAATGCCAATACTATTTTAAAAAGTTATTAAGTGAAACTTAGTTGTGTCACTTACACAATTAATTCAAATGCAAATAATATTGTCTTTTCACTTATGTTATCTCCTATACCCATTATACTTAGATTCTCTCCCTTTATGCACACACTTATAAAAACAATTCATATACTACACAATCCACATATTTAGGTTATGAAAACATATATGTATACAGAATCATGTAACCAACTTAATAATTTAATTTAAGGCAAATTTCATCATCTTTCCAACAGATTTCATACAATATCAACAGTCAGTCTCATTCTCTTCTGTCTATTTAGTATTTATATATTTATGTGTATGGTATCCTTTAAATAAATAGACATAAAATATCTAGTCAATTTAAACATTCTTCCACTTAACACTCACTTCAAGCTTATCAATGTTTTGGCACTTCATGTTCCTGCCAAATAATAATAATTTGCATAGATTCAGAAAATACAATTATCAAGAACATTTACCTATTTATTTTTTATAAACCATTTATAAACCAAAAATGGCTATGTGTTATAAAAAACCTAGTGAAGACATTTAAAATTAAATAGGAAACTGGTAGAATTTGGAAATGTAAGTAACTACAATTTCTTGGAGGAAATGATATAGTCAAAGTAAAAAGACGTAATGAATGCAAATATTCAAGTTCATCTAAATTGAAAAACTTGTTTTAATCTAAAATTAAAAAAAATAGTAATAAACAGAACCTCTTTCTTGATTTTCCTCAAAATATGTGTTTGTCCTGTCTGCAATGTTATAAATAAGAGGATGGAATGCAATGTTCGTGTTGGTATCTGGACAATATAAAGTAATATGTATGATGGAGTTTTTGTTTTCACTTTTACATCACAGAAATGTGAAACTGTTTGTAGTTAAAGTTATTTTGCTTGCATGTGTGGTTATTGACCAAAGCAAGATGGTCTAGTAATCTCAATGACAAAATCTTCAAGGTTGTTCATACTGAAAATATCAAGTAAGCATTAGAGAGAATGGGAATGTTATACTATGTTTATAAGAATGGTGGTTATGACTACAACTGGGATCTACATACACTAAGTGCTTGTGAGTGTTATAACAGCAGAGATAATCTATTGATGAACAAATAAGATTTTTGACTTTCTGGTTTTAAGAAAAAACAAACATAATCTATTCTTTCTGTAGTGTCCTGGGATATTAACAGAGATAAAGTGGCAGTTTGATATTCTTAATATTCTTTCTCTGTGTTGTTTGGTGTTAAGATACATTAGATAAGTTACTAGAGGAACACTCGTTGCTATATTTTACAAGCTGATTTTTTTCCTAGACTAGTCTACCCTTTCTTATTAATTCAGTCATATAAAATAATTAACCTGGCATTTTTCTTCTATAAGTTAGCTCTCTTTGCACACGCAATTACAAAGAAAACAGAAAAATGTTTTCAATTTTTTGTATTATGTTTTTTAAGGAGAATCAACTAGAATAGCAGTCATCCGTGAAAGCAACTGACATTTAGTTTCACAGGGAAGATAAATCCAAATGGCACAAGAACCTTTCTACTCACAGGTATCTAAAGACTCGTCTGAATCATCAGGGCAGTCAGGGTCTCCATCACACAGCCAGCTCTGGGAGACACAAGTCACGTGATCGTGGCAAAGAAATTCACCAGGATCACACAATTGCTGATCTGAAAATGAAAATGTTTTGAAATAAAATATGAATGATCTGACCATGAACCAAAGAGCACTACAAAGATGAAATGTGAGAAAGCAATAATAAAAGTACATGAATATGATCCACATTTCCCATTCAGCTGCAAATCTATACCAATTAATTATTAATGTTACCAGCTTAGTTCAAGCATGCCATTTTGTGAATCTTGACTTTAGGTAGACTTGCACAATCTGTTCTAGAAAAAGTTAAGAATTTGCATTCATGACTGATGATTTCAGCATATCAAATATGACAAGTAGATATTCTAGATACTGAACTTTGTCGAATGTGTTGAATCAAAACTAAGCATAGATTTAATTGTTTTTTTCATTGCTTTGAGATAAACAAAAATAAGTAGTGATCTAAGCATTGCAATTAAACCTTGTCTCTTGAGTATCTGTCCCCATCCTGATACTGGGGCTTCATAGATACATGACTGGCAAACTTCTACCATACAATTCTCTTCCATATTTAACCATGACTTAAAGGGGGACATGTCTGCTTCTGAATAGCAGAAGTGATTGCAAATGCCTTTAAAACTTTTTTCTTCCAATTTTAGTTGAGTAAAACATGTTTACACAACAATAATTTTCCTTCCTTTTTTTCTCTTTTTATTTCTCTCTCTCTCCCTCTTCCTCTCCTTCTTCCTCTCTCTCCCTCTCCTTTTCCCCTCTCCCATTCTCTCTCTCCCTTTCTCTGTCTCTGTCTCTCTCTGTCTCTGTCTCTCTGTCTCTCTGTCTCTCTCTCTGTCTCTGTCTCTCTGTCTCTCTCTGTCTCTGTCTCTCTGTTTCTGTTTCTGTCTCTGTCTCTCTCTCTCTCTCTCTGTTCTGGGCTTAAACTCAGGGCCTGGGAACTGTCTTTGAGCCTTAAGCCTTGCACTCAATTTCACTTGAGCCACAGTGGCACTTCCAGCTTTTTCTGAGTAGTTTATTAGAGAAGAGAATCTTATGGACTTTCTGACCCAAATTGGATTCAAACCACAAACCTCCAATCTCAGCTTCCTAAGTACCTAGGATTACAGAAACCAGCCACCAGCACCCAACTAGAAGAATCTTCGGTAGATCTGTAGAGTTGTCTTCCTACTAAGCTCTGACTTTTTTTTACAAACTCCAGTCCCTTTGGTCTCTAGAATCCCAGTTCCATTTCAAGTCAGGGAGAACATAAGGCTCCATCTAGAATCTCCCTCTTTACAGTTTAGCCCATAAATCCCTGTAGGCAATAAGGAAGAGGACTCAAAAATTTTGCCTCAGGATAACTTAAATATCAAACCATCTGATCAAAATACAAACTTCCAAAACTAGTAATGGTGGTTCATGCCTATAATCCTAGGTGCTCAGGAGACTGAGATCTGAGGATAGTGTTTGAAATCTGCCGGAGCAAGAAAGTCTATGAGACTTTTATCTCCAATAAACTACTCAGAAAAAGCTGGAAGCAGCACTGTGGGTCTGGTGGTAGACCACTAGCTTTAAGCAAAAAGGTATCAGGGACAGAGCCCAGGCCTAGAGTTCAAGCCCCAGGTTTGGGGGAAAAAAGTACAAACTTCCTAAAATGCCTATGTCCTAGTACCTAGAATTTATTAATATGTTCAATAATTTTCCTTCTTATGCTACACAATATTTGGGTATAGAAACTCTTCCTGAAACCCTAACTCATTCAAGATCTTGATATTTCACAATACATTACCATACTGATGAGTCCACTGAAGAAAATTAACATTGTTTTTCTATTTTTAAAATGTATGAAATGGAAATATTAGATGCCCTCTAAATGTGACTGTTAGCATGACTGAATCACTTGATATGACTTGTTATTCAAACTTATTTCCTTTTCTATCTATCTATCATATATATATACATATATATACATATATATATGTTACAAGGCTAATTTATGATAAAATATGTTACCATTAATTAATCCTAAGAACGGAAGTGAAAAAGGCATGACTAATGACAAACATAGATGCACTGAGTTCTGAAAAGATTGACTAACATGAGATGCTGAATGAAAACTGTACCGGAGAAAGCCTCTGGTGTCAAAGAGGATATGAAAGTGGAACATTTGCCCCAAGAACCAATATGGGTGGAATAAGATCCTTAGCATTTACTCTGAGAAAAGAGTGTAAAGATAAGTGATATATCAACTAGAAGAGAAAATAGCAGTCTTATCAGATTGTTTTCTCAAATAACTTACAAGTATGATTAGTTTTTGAAAGGTGAGGAAGTTAATATTGGAAAAGATAGTAAAAGTGTAGAATAATTGCTGTATTAAAGGAATCAACAATAGATTTGTGAAAGGATTATAATTTTAGTAGCAGTAAAATTATAGCTAATGTTGAAAGTATGCATTTGGCAATTGACTCCTCATTTGATTATTTCAAATAGCCAAATGTTTACCTAGTTTGAGCCATAAACAATAGTCTAATAATTTTCATTGAGATGCATACCAATATGGACAAATAAGTAAATTCATCATGTTTTTAAAATATTGGATTCTCTTTCTCCCACCCAAAAGTGAGGTAGATTTAGGGCAATTTACCTGATTATGTGGTATCAGTTTGATAAATAAACTCCAGTCTTTACAAATAATTTGCATTATGGAAGTTTGGAGAACAGCTAATATTATCCTTCAAGGAAATAATATTCAAGAAGATTTTGCTATAACCCAGCTATTTGTTTTCAACAGATACTCCATTTCAGGGATAACTTTTATACAATATTGAATGCAGTTTTTAAATGAGACATTTTTCTGTCTTTTGAGGTGATTATTTAAAAATTCAACCACTGCATTTAAGTCCTTGAATCATAAAAATGAAATGTTGAATGTACCTTTGTTTCCCATTTATCTGAATTAGTGCTTCAAACCACAATTCAGAGGCAATCATACTAATCTTACTTTCAATGTCTTTTTATTGGATGAAACATAGAGGTTTAGACTGTAATTAAAACAGGAAGCTTATGGGAATGTTAAAACTGTTTCACTTATATCATAAGTAAGAACATCTAAGTTAGTGCCATGTAAATTATTTTATAGTAATCGATTCCTGCAATCAACTAAAACAAAAGTTAAGATGGCTCTATCCTACAGAACTTACTGAACTTGGAAATATTCTGGCATAAAAAGAAATTAGTAGCTGGGCACTGGTGGCTCATGCCTGTAATCCTAGCTACTGAGGAGGCTGAGATCTGAGGATCATGGTTCAAAGCCAGCCCAGGCAGAAAAGTCTGTGAAACTCTTATCTCCAACAAACCACCAGAAAACCAGAAGTGGTGCTGTGACTCAAGCAGTAGAGTGCTCACCTTGAGCTGAAGAGCTCAGGAACAGCACCCAGGCCCAGAGTTCAAGCCCCATGACCAACCAAAAAAAAAAAAATAAGAGAGATTAATATAACAATCTTTCTGTATTTATGTGAAAACTTCCAATTCTCTATTTTAATTGTACCTTACAATAAATAATTTCAATATGTGATATCATTCTATTTGAAATACTGTACATGAATTATCATAGACTGGTTAATTCATTAACATATAGTGCAAATATCTGCTAAGTTTGATACTTTTAAAAAACAGTTAACTAAGTCCAATTCCTATTATACCTTGAAAGCTATCTCTTGAACTTCTACGTCCTACTTTGATGTTTACTCCAAAGATTTCATGTTAGTTCCCTTGAAGTCTCAGTTATTATATTCTGGAAAATGATATAATTCAGTGTCCTGCTGAATGTAGCAGGACACTACAGAACAATTTAGAGGAATTTACAAGTGATGAATTGAAGTAGCACATTATGAATTAAGTTGAGAAGAATACAGATGTATTCAACAGCTAAGTTCCTGGACACTACCATAAAAATGATTAAAATAGCATTATAAATAGTCAAATTCAAGTGAACAAGTGAAATACTAGAGATATACAGTGACATTTAATAATTTAGACAATATCAACAGATTTATTTATTATCCCTATGAACCTATACATAGAAAATAAGAGTTCTAAATAGGGAGAAATAAAGGAATGATAAAAAAAAATTCCAGAAGACTTAAGCCAGACGCCAGTGGCTCACGCCTATATTCCTAGCTACTCAGGAGGCTGAGATCTGAGGATCACTGTTCAAACCCAGCCCGGACAAGAATAAACCATTCAGAAAACTGGAAGTGGTGTTGTGTCTCAGGTGGTAGAGCGGTAGCCTTTAGCTGAAGAGCTCAGGGACAGCGTCCAGGCCCAGAGTTCAAGCCCCACAACCGACCAAAAAAAAAAAAAAAAAGAAAGAAAGAAAAAGAAAAAAAAGAAAAATACAGAACTTTTAATTCCAGATATTTTAATTTCCTGACTACAAATATACAATGTATACATGAATCAAACAACTTCATTATATCATTTAAGTATGTACAATTACATGTCAATAAAAACATTTCTAGAAAAGAAAGTTTTAATAAAAAACAAACTGTCTAAAACTAACTCTACATCATTTGGGGGCAAGAAGGGAGAACAAACAAAAAGTCAATGAAATATTTCTACTTTTATTTTTTTAAATGATGAATGTGTAGATAACCACTAAAATAAAATCAAGTGCTCCCATAGTTAAAATAAAATACTCTGAATAGTAAAGATTATACTATATACAATTAAAATAGTCATAAAATAAACATCAAACTTAAGGGAAATTCAATGGTATCCTCTAGGGGCTCATAAAAACTTTATTTAAATTAGATTTAACAATAATTGGTATGCATTGGTAACTTAGCCAAATATATTACTGATAGTTCTTTTAAGAAGATATTTCCATTAGGAATATCTTAATTAGAAATGTAAGTTAAAAGGTAACTCGCCATTTTGAGCTTTACTTGGATTTTGACAGTTTGTGGGAAAAAAGGCAGAGTGGAAAAAGGCAGAGAAAAAATGGTTAAATTTTGATGTCTCAATGTATCAAAAAAATTAATTTTACGAAGTGGATGATTGATTTAAAATATAAACATTA